TCACAAATTGTTTCATTAACCTTAATTTAATATGCAAAGGAGGCAACAGCACTTTCTTTGGGTCAATCAATGGTTCATGGAGCATATTTTTTGAGTCTGGCACAAGAGCCTGTCTAGGTGGCCAGTGTTTTGTATCCCAATGTTCACGTCTTGCTCTACTGTCCCACTCGCACAAAAAACATGGCATTTTCGTGTATCCACTCTGTTGATACAAGCAAAAAAGCATTGACTTAGAAATCTCCACAAACCAACCAACCAACCATGATCTTTATAATGAACTTTCTCTAGAAGTATCTGCAAATTTTCGTAAGTTTCCTTAAGATGAATAAGAGTGAGCCATAGGAATTGATGAAAATGCATTTCCATTATGAAGTAAAACTCCTTTGAGACTTGTTTTTTGAAAAATCAATGGACAACCTCCATTCAGTAGCTGTATAGGTAATGCCAAAATAGTTCATTAAAGCAGACACATTATTACAATAAACCAAGGAGCCTTCCTCTGGCAAAAAAGAACTATTTCTTGTTCACGTTGCCTATACCATGAAAAATATGTCCCTTTGGTCAATAACTTCTTTGATTTCAACCTAGATCCTCAAAGTTTAGCAGACTCCTTTGGTAAATTCAAATCCCTAACCAGATCGTTAAGTTCACTCTGGGTAAACACCTCCGGTACATCACTAATATCTTCAGGCTGATAAACATCACTTCCGTTACCTGACGATGAATCACGGTATGACGCGGACTGCAACAAATCTTGCGGAATGGGGACTAGAACCTCAGGACCATGTGGCGCTGGTCTCATGGCAGATGGAATCTTGGGATAAATGATTCCTTGTTTATTTTAATTTTTTTGCATTATACTCCTCTATCTTCACCGAGTAAAAATAAAAGTAATTTTTAGGCTCCCGCCATACAATAGGGACTCCAAATGGCATAGCTTTTTTTTTCCCATATTTCCAGTCTTAAACCTTCAACACAAGTGCAACATACTTTATGCGGCGCCCATGGTTTATCTAAATCACCTATTTTCACTCCAAAGTAGACAAAATATGCATTTTTCACGAATGCGATTATTTCTTGTCGTTGCTTATGCACAACAAAGCACCCACATATGTAGCAGAATACGTTTGGATTGTTCAAACATCAACGAGAAGACATATTTATAACAGGAATAGTATCTTAATAGAACAAAACAAGGAGATTTAACACTGCATCCACGAGGAAAGGAAACAACTTGTAATAGGAGCCCTATACTCAGCACCAATTAGTATATTTTTCCTTTTCATAATGAGCTCGCACCATACCGCTTTATCATACAAATGAGCATTCAAGAAATTTACATTGTCTACAAGAGAAATAAGAGAATTTCTCACTAATATAACCATACCTCTACCAGGTTCGTTCTGCACACCATCGAATTTACTATTTTACTTTCACAAAAAACCTGATGGACTTTTATTTTTACTAGTATATTATATTTTAAAAACTAAACTAATAAATTGTATTATTAGAGTTTACTAGCCTATTAAACTACTTATACACTGGACTGGTATTTATTTATTTCCCTTTATCATCTATATTTTATAATATTTCTGGCTTCGCTGCATTTTCGCTTTCAACAACTCAATTAATTAATTGAATTATTATACATCCAAAGGCATGGAAGTCGAATATAATACTATCAGTCACCACTCACCAGCTCTGCTCACCACGGAATCTCAGAGCTTTCTGCCGGGAGTGCCGTACGATATGTTGGGCAAACACTTCATTTTTACCAAGACTTCACTTTTAAGGGCTACACCGCCTTTCAAGTGCAGTCAAAACAACAGGACGGGCCAGAGCTAAAAAGTTTAATGTATGATAAAAGGAAAACGCTTATGATTAAATGCTACAGTATTAATTTATTCAGGTGAGACCAAGTACGTAAGATGTGCCTTGCTACTGCTGCTACACCCATTTAAAATGCCAAATTCCGCCATTAAAGCTGCTTTATTGAATTTTGCCATTAAAAACGGAAAATAATAGTAAAAACAAAAGCTTGATCATTTTACCTCAATCAAATGAGCACCATGTAATAAACTCGAGAAGATTAGTTTCCTGATTGAGCCCAAAATGTTGAGCTCCTATTTCAATTACTAATTACATAGATACTTCCTCTTTACCCCAGCTCACTCGACCCGCCAAGAAACCCCCACCAGTTACCTTCTATCCACAAAGACTTACGCACTCCCAGTTTTACTACAACTTCCAATGTCTTCATCATGTGAGAGCACTGACACGATTACAATCCGGAGCCCGGTACTACTACTGTATACAGCATATCAGATAACCATGTTGTTTCATGCTGAGGGTAAACCATCTTTAAAAAATATTATTGGTCGTTTCGCTAAATTAAAAGCTGTTCTTATTTTTATTAGTTACAGTAGTTAAAACAATGGAAGCAGGTTCATTCACTATCGTGGTCATTCTGTTGAGGTTAATTATGATACAACGTGCATCTTCATATATATATATATATATATATATATATATATATATATATATATATATATATATATATATATATATATATATATATATATATATAGTAGGTAGTAGGCAGGTACCAAACAGGGAGGTACTACGGCCTGGGAAGATATTGGAAGCATAATGTATTGTCTAATGGTACACCCTGCTGCCAGATGGCAACACGAAAATTGTGACCAGGTCCCAGGTTGCTGCTCAGACCTTCTACTTCATTTACACACAATAGCATGGTCTCAATTGTTTCTCTTACTATTGACAACACAATATACATAAAATGTTTCTCATTTTTTTCATTTTTGTATTTCTTTATGGTTCTTTGTTATTATTTTTATAATTTTTATTTTATTTTATTTTAAATTTTGTATTTTATATTATAATTTTATTTAGTATGAATTATTATTATTAATTATTATTATTATTATCATCATTATTATTATTATTACATTTTCGCCCCCCAGGCCCCGATGTGGGGTCAGTGACCTGTGCCCGGGTTGGCTAATCCCCGCAAAAAAAAGAAAAAAAATGTATATATATGAATATATACAGTATATATATATATATATATATATATATATATATATATATATATATATATATATATATATATATATATATATATATATATATATATATATATATATATATATATATACATATATATATAGGTATATATATATATATATATATATATATATATATATCAACAACCTCACCCACCAGGACTCGAACCCACGATCTATGTGCGTGACTGGGAAAAATATATATATATATATATATATATATAATTATTATTTTTTTTTTCGATGATCCGCCTCAGCACTTCCCCCACCCCTATAGGCCTACATCCTGGATTATTAGCCAGGGGAATGAGGCGGCAGGCCGTCAGAGCATGGAGGTGTTGGCAGCAAGAGGATGCCAACTTTCTTGCAAGGACGGCAAAGGCAGTGCAAAGATCACTTGCTACGGGGCCAAACTTGTTAGTACTGAGGATGACTCTCCAACCGTTTGCATCCAGACCTGAAGGGCCGGCACCTCCTCGAGTCTTCAGTGCCTTTTTCCATACCATCGCTACCATTTTATTACAGTACCTTAATATTAAATATCTTAATACAAAAGTTGACGGTCACGTGTTGGCCGTGATGTTTGTTCCATACTAAAATAATATTTGGCAAGATATTATAAATTTATCTAGTAATCTAATTTACCTTAAATAATAACTTAGTGAATGCATGTGTCTTTTTGCTGTGACTGTAAAACTCATTTATATATACGTTAGCTGTGGAAATTTCCATATAAGTATAATTGATGCCAGAATCATAAATATATATATGAAGAGTATTTTCCACTGTAGATACCAGACAGATTGTTATGGACATTGTTGTAATCACTATTAATGTCATATCTAAAATTAAAAAAAAAAAATTCTTTGAAGACTGAAAAAGTTGCCCAAGCGTTCAGTGATGCAAGCTACGGGTTGCCACTGAGTTACTTGCAGTATATTCTTGAGCAACCAATATTTGAGTTTTAGTCAACACTTAGATGTTAAAAAATCTGGACCTCTAGTGGGTAACTATATTATGAGCGAGTACAATAAAAAAATATCGAAGCCATTATCGATAAAAAACAATTTCAGTACCCCTATAATTCCATACTCAAGTCTAGTGGCAAAAGGCACCAATGGATATTTACCGAAATTGAGCCCTGCCGCTGTAACTCCAAAAATATCAGTTACAATACAGTTAGACACAAAAATAATACACACTAAAAAGAATCCCACAGTGAAAGCTATATATATATATATATATATATATATATATATATATATATATATATATATATATAATCAACGACCTCACCAGCCAAGACTCGAACCCTTGACCTTATGTGTGTGACCAGGGAATGCTACAAACCATGCCACAAGGACACTAAAAGCAATCCTAGACTTTGTTATATTTCACACAAAGCCTGTTCATCGAGCTGATGGCACCGTGAACCTCCCAATGAGGAGGTTCCCTGGTCACACACATAAGGTCGAGGGTTCGAGTCTTGGCTGGTGAGGTCGTTGATTATATGTTCAAGTTCGCGTGTTATATGGACTAAAATGAAATATATTTGGTACCTCATGTTTCATACCAGCTGGATTCGGTAAAATGCTACTCCCACCACATAAGTGGCACGGGCATTCCTCATTGGGAGGTTCACGGCACCATCAGCTCGATGAACAGGCTTTGTGAGAAATTAACAAAGTCTAGGGTCGCTTTTAGTGTCCTTATGGCATGGTTGGTAGCGTTCCCTGGTCACACGCATAAGGTCGAGGGTTCGAGTCCTGGGTGGTGAGGTCGTTGAGGATATGTTAAAGTCTGTGTGCTATTTGGACTTAGAATGATATATATATATATATATATATATATATATATATATATATATATATATATATATATATATATATATATATATATATAGAAAACTGCCAGTGCTGTGATGGTATTAATAACCAATTTCCACTAACCCCTTCAATACGAGGACGCCTTTTTTTATATTTTATTTAACCAACACCATACGATTTCATTAAGCACAGACGGACCCCGTACACAAATGGTTAAAAGCCAATTATGTGCTCTATAAGAGAGTTGGGTAAATACTAAATAGAGATATATTCTCAAGGTTGTGAGTTGTGACAAAGCTACATACCGTACTGTGACTCACTACTCATGAAAAACAGGTTACACTCGACGGCCCTTTGTTAAAAGTGTATCAACACTTTGGTGACGATGTAACTTGTACTGTCATAATAAACCCTGAGGTGTAAAACACATCATTTTGAAGACTGGACCAACAATAAATCATAAATGTTGGGATATGAAACTTGTATTCCTGAGAAGTCTGCAGTATGTCTGGAAAAAAGAAAAGAAAATTGGTTAACAACAGTAGAAGTGTTATTCTTAATTATCAAATAACTATAAAATACATAAAATAACTTTGAGTTTTTAATATGCGAGAATGAAGAATACGAGTAATGAAAATTGCGCACAACATACAGTAAGTGAGGATGTCATGTTATAGAATAGGTAGGCCTATTATATGATTGTTACCGCCATTGGAAAACAAAGAATTAGAAAACAGCTGCATATTGTATACGTTATTTTTAGGAGATCGTAAGAAAAAAGAAAAGCAAATGAATATCCAACTTATTTTTATAAAATATATTATGTATACGTTATACAAGAGCGAGGCTTGTCAAAAAACACTTACCTCGCTGGTTTATATATAAATAAATCAACTTTAATATTTCATCAAATAATGTAATGATACATAATTATACGTCCACTTTAATATAACCATGACTAATAATTTTTTCATAATCCTACTGACAATGAGTGGTACGGAAGTAGGGCACGTATGCATGACGGGCAGACGGACACAAAAAGATCAATATATTCCTCTTCATGCACAATGGGGTTATAAAATTTATTATGGGTTATATATAGTACTACTGGCTCAGGGCACTGTTATTTCAGTAAATGTTGTGGATTATAGCTGGCGAGAATGAACAACGTGAGAATGAGGTCACTGTAAGGACGAGCGGGTAAACATGTCACAGATCAATAAACTCGGCCAGTATCCCGCACGACTGCTTCTGTAAAGATGATGGCGGTTATCAGTTGTGATACTTTACTCATTTAGTGCTGACCTTAATGGATTAATGGCGTAGTCTACATCACTTTATAATACAGTACTTTTTATTTTAGGATGGATAAAATCAGAAACAATTATTTAAAGGAGTGCAGTGGACCAACCATGGTAAGTTTCATATATAAGACTAGTACTATGTTAAGACTGGCTGTCATCGTGCGGCATGCCAATAATTTCTATGCGATATCACACGTACCTGAAAATACAATAGAAATAAAAAAAATCCACATCCCTTAGCAGCTAAGTTTTATTCCCGCTGGAAATAATTCACTTCATTGAATCTCCATTGTATCTATTAAATTTTTTAACTTGATATCTAGTGTATAATTTAACAGAATAGATTCTTAGACTTTAGCTGTTGAAGCGTAGAAATACATTATCAACAATAATATAAAAAGAACGACTACTGGCATTATGAATAAATAGCATCATTACTAAGTTCTACAATACTCGTCGACCACAACTAAGAATTTATCTATTTTTAATGAATTTGACTTCCCATTTAGTCCAATACCTTAAAGTGGTTCCAGGATTCAACGACTGTAGAAGAAATGGTGGCAAGCATAAAGGCGGCGTGTTTGGCAAACACGGTCCGACCAGCAAAACAAAGAGACGTTTTGTGTCACACTGGGATGTTTTGTTGGCGCATCTGCCCAACGCAATGAAAACAACGACAAGGCATCTAGACGTGGATCACCATGGATCCCGTTATTACAGTCGAGGCCTTGCAGGATTGTGCTATAGTACTTTATTTGCTGAAGAGAGGCATCTGCTAAAGCTAAAGAAAAGACATGGATGCGTCGTGAAGTTTCTTTAAAATTGGCGATGGTTGGCTGATCAAAGAAGACCCTGAATAATGATTTAATATTACTTAAGAAGTTTTAAAGTGACGAATAAATTGAAATACGTCACCGTTTATGTGTTGTATTTTAAATTATTACGGTTTCATGAATTATTTCAATTTTACTTGAAATTATATGAAGCTCATTTGAGGACTAATCCGACCAGCAAAGATCCCCGCCAAACCGTTGTCCATTTCCAGCAGAAACAGAATTTCTGCTGCTTGCTGGGTCGTCAGGCCAACGGCCAGCAAAACGCGCAGCATGTTTGGAGGAAAGTGCCCAATGTGTCGCCGCCTTAGTTCCAGTGTGTATTAGGAGAATAGTCACTGGAGAGATGATAATTATCAGCCTCTGTTCTGTTTACTACTGAAAAACCCAGATACCGCATCCGCATCCAACAGTTCATCTCTCAACTATTTTTAAATTATCTCTTATAACAGCTCAAAAAATGCTGCACTGGTGTTTGTTAGGTTAAGTGCATTTAGTTAGAAATATGAATTTTTATCTTGTATTCTCTTTGAATTTGGGAACCACGACCTGTTTTTCATTTTATATTTGATAACCTTTCTCCATAAAGGAAAGGGCGAAATGTTTATTTAAATTTTGAAAGCGTGTTCCTCATCCCCTGGCGATTCATGAGCAACGAAGATCATTGAAAACATTTCTAAAGTAAAATAGAACGCGTGATTAACATATCATCAAGCATAAAGCGAAAGAGAAAGAGAGAAAGAGAGAGATGCTGGAGATATCACCAATACAGTTTTATGTTAAAAAAAAAATTCGAGTACTGAACTGCAATTTTGAAAATATTTCCTATGTTATTTGCCGAAACGAATGAGGAAATGTATTACCTGTAAATGTGACTCAATTAAATTGTGATTATGAGCATTTGGCGGAGGTAGACCATGAAATAAGCGTCAACAGTCTTTACCTTGTAGGGGTATCGACATATTAAAGTCGTCTAGCACTCAGGATGGAAGGAAACTCTAATGTGGTTTTCTTGTATAATATATAAGTTATATGATAGACAGTCTGGTGCTGGAGGTGCTGTGTGGTGAGGGGCTGCTTGGTAGAGACGTGCGGTGAGTAGCTTGTTGAAGGAGGTAGATGTGCAGGAGCTTCGTTAGAGAAGATGTTGCCTGTTGCTGGCCTCCTGGTTGAATGAATGCTGGACAGCTAGGAGCTTGCTGGAGGAGGTGTTGCGTGTTCAGGAAGATGGGCCAGAATGAGAGTTGGTTGGTGAGGAAGCTCAGAGAAGGACATGCTCGCTGGCGGGAGCGAGGACCGCCAGGCAGGCGAGGAGATGCGAGGGGCAGCCAGGCAGCGGCGGAGGAGGAGGTGTTGCTAGTTCAAGAAGAATGGTCTGACTGAATCTCAAGGGAGAGACAGAGCTTATATACCCAGCAGCAGCCGCTATGAGTCATGGTGGGAAAACCCGAGAAGTAGCCGGTGAATAGTTTCGTTGCTAAGATACGGTAACATCTGGTTGGTTGCTAGGGAAGGCGGCACATTGGAATGTGATAGCAGGTGGTGGGCTGCTGCGCAGTTAGTTTGTAGGGGAGACATCCACTACAACCTCCTTCCTTCCTCACCTTCCTATCCTTACCCCCAGTACCTCATCTCTCCCGTTTCTATCCTCGCCGTCCTCCACTCCCTAAGTTTCAATTCCATCCTCCGACTACTCCCTTCACATCTACTATCTTCCTCGTCTATCTTCTTTCTTGCATTTTTCCTTCATTGCCTCCCTTTCCATCCCTTTTCTCCATCGTTTTCCCTTTCTCCTTCTCCCTTTCTCTCGCTCACTTTCTGTTTTACCCCTTCTTCCCTCACCCTTCTCCACACAGATCCACAATAGTTCCACCCTTAATATTGGCATTTCTCTTCCTTTACTAGCTGCTTTCTCCTGCACTCTCACACCTTCTCATATACCTCTCCCACTCTCCCTTTACGTCCCACCAATGATTATTTTCATCCATACACTTCTCTCACTCACCTTCACACACCCTCCAACCGAGTCACGTATCCCTCCCAGGCTCTCACATATACCTCTTTCTCCATCATCACCTACTGCACACGCACCCTCCCTCATACCCATATGCACCCTCCCTCACACCCATATGCACCCTCCCTCACACCCACACACACACACACACGTCCTCCCTCACACCCATACACTCATTCTCCCTTATACCCACACACTCATTCTCCCTTATACCCACACACTCATTCTCCCTTATACCCACACACTCGTTCTCCCTCACACCCACACGTTCTCTCTCACACCCACACACTCGTTCTCCCTTACACCTTCCTACGCATTCATACACTGACACATACGCCGTTAATAATATTTATACCCATACACTCACCCATACAAACCTTTATACACCCAAACTATCTCTCATACACCCTTTTTACACGCCCGTACACCGACACTCACCCTCACACACCCCTCTCACGCACTAGTACACACTATACAATCCCCTCCTACACGCACACATCTCTCCTACTCCCACACGTTCCTCTTATACACATCTACATAATCTTCTCACACCCACCCATTTGCCTGTCCTATAATCCCATTCACATTCCCCTCCCACTCAAGCCTGCTATTCCCATTGGCTTCACCCTACGTCAATTTACTATGGGATAATTGTGAGCAGTTTTTTCTTCTGTCGACCCAGGAGACCTTATGAAGCCTAATAAGAAACTAAAAGGCGTATATGGGGAATGGGTCACTTGATTGACCAATAACATACAAGTGACATAAGTGATACAAATATGATATATAATAACTAGGTGGGGAGAAGCTCAAACTACAGGGCATTTCAACATAGTGACAGTGCAAAAAGGTAAGATTGACTGGGAGTGAATACACTGGTTGATTACAAGTTATTGATAATTTTTACAATGGTTGGGACTGGGCTGTTCTTATAGCGTTCAGTTCGTGCTTGTATGGGCTGGATGCGGTTGTGGTGTCGAACCTCAATTCTCGGACGAGGGACCTCGGGTGGTAGGAGGAGCAGGTGTCGAGGATGGTGCAAAAGCTTCTCACCAAATTTGCAGATGAGGTCGTGGTGATTGTCAGAGAGAGCCGAGAGGGTCAGTGTGTTGAGCGCTTCTTGATATGTGGAGTAGGAAGGGGAGAGAATAATCTTGCATGCCCTCTTTTGCACTTTTTCTAGGTGTTTACGTTGTGTGGCATTTGGGGAGGAAGACCAGGTAGGGGAGGCATAGGTGAGCTTGGGAAGTATGAATGTTGAGTAAACACTAAGGAGCTCGGGCGCAGGAACTCCGAGGGACTTGAGTCGGAGGAGGAGGTGGAGATGGAAACTGGAAGATTTTACAACTTCGCTGAC